AACGCACCGGGCCGCCAGGGTCCACTCGGAACGGGTCGGTACCCACGAGCCGCAGCGGAACGCCCACCGGACCCCGTCCATCCCTGACAACCACAACAGTCAATGACAACCACTGTTATTATCCTATAGTACTGCTAGTAGAAATACGCATAATTATCAGCAGTTATATATTATAAAGTTGCGGTTCATTATTATAATATTAATTAATAATATGCAGTCATCATTATTGCATATTATATTGTCTTATGCAATTTGTAGCATTTGTTTTGCTTTCTCTGGTACGCCTGCACATGGGTTCCAAACCACACGCAGGAAACCGGAAGAATATGCTGTGGGCGGGGCTAAACGGTGAGCGCCTCGTCTGATTGGCTGAAGGAGAGGGCGGTGACGCTCGTTGACCAATCGCGCGTTGTCGGAAGTGTTCGGCACAGTTCGGCTCTGTGGATGGAGTGGTCGACGCTTTTCTCCACCGGTGAGTGTTTGAATAAATAAATCAAATAAGCACGATTTTTTTTTGTGGTGTGCGTTATGGCGTTTATTTTTTGTTATATAAAGAGCCATATGTGTGGAAAACATGATAGTATATTGCAGCGCTTTCTGGCGACATGTTTATAATTGAACAGCAAGAACACAGCCGCACTGATGTGTTTATGTTTGATATAAGTGATAGTATTCGCACTATGTGATGTCATATTGATAATCATGCTGTATATGGATATACTTGACAAAATATTTCCTTGTAACCATATTTTTCTACAAAAAAACGCAATATGTACTGTTATTCCCTGTATTATAGTATGAAATGGTAATAAAGTACTTCATGATGATTATGGAATCTCCTTCAAACATCATAAGAAGCTTTCATAAATTAATAAAATTAATTGATCATTGAATTGATCAAATGTATTTATTTATTTTGCTTTCTTGTTCTAACACATTAGAATGATTTCTGAAGATCATGTGACACCAAAGGCTGGCGTAATGTTGCTGAAAATTCAGCTTTGCATCACAGGAATAAATTACATTTTAAAATATATTCAAAAATAAAACCCTTATTTTATATTGCTATAATATTTAGATTTTTTACTGTATTTTTTTTAAATCAAATAAATGCAGACTTGGTGAGCAGAACAGACTTTCAGAAGCATTAAAAGAATCGTACCAACCCCAAACTTCTGAACGCTGATGTATATTTTTATAAATATGTGACCCTGGAGCACAAAACCAGTCATAAGTGTCACATTTTTGAAATTGAGAATTATACAACATCTGAAAGCGGAATAAATATGCTTTCTATTGATGTATGGTTTGTTAGGATTTAGGACAATATTTGGCTGAGATACAACTATTTGAAAATCTGGAATCTGAGGGTGCAAATAAAAAAAAAATATATATATATTGACAAAATCACCTTTAAAGTTGTCCAAATGAAGTTCTTAGCAATGCATATTACTAATCAAAAATGAAGTTTTAATATATTTACAGTAGGAAATTTACAAAGTATCTTCATGGAACATGATCTTTACTTAATATCCTAATGATTTTTGGCATAAAAGAAAAATTGATAATTTTGACCCATACAATGTATTGTTGGCTATTGCTACAAATATACCCCAGTGACTTAAGACTGCTTTTGTGCTCCAGGGTCACATATATGCAATATATTGCAACTTTCTGGTTTTATTCACAGCTGGTTTTGTGCACAGGAAATAATGTACAGATATGTCAGATTTATTAACATAAACTTATTGTGTGTAACTAACTAAAACTGTGTGTTTGTTTTGTTGTAGGAGACCAGATGGTCTGATCCTGCTGTCATTTTGCATGCGGTTAGGAGACAGTTTGACCTCTGAATGACCTCAACACTTTCCTACTCACAGAAACACAAAATGTGTGTCAGCATGAACTTGGAGATGTGTCTGGAGTGACAGAATTCGCTTCTCAGTAGCCGATCATCTCCAGCATGGACTTCCTGCAGATGAAGCACCTAAAGAGGAAGAGGAAGAGCAACTACAGCGTGAAGGAAACTCAGACTCTGATCCGCGAGATCCACAAGCGACGTGAGATTTTGTTCTCCCGCCAGCAGAACATGGCCATCAACGAGCTGAAGCGGCGCGCGTGGGAGGAGGTGGCAGACAGCGTGAACGCTCTCGGCGAGGGGGAGCTGCGGACGGCGGCCGAGGTCAAGCGGCGCTACCTGGACTGGCGTGCATTGATGAAACGAAAGCAGCTTCAGGCCGAGTTGGCGTCAGGATTGAAGCAGGAGTTTGAAGCTTCGTCTCCCGATAATGACGCGTCTCTGGGTGGCGGCGATCAGTCGCTGGACCTCAGTGGGTTTTCCAAAGACTCGTCGTGCGACTGGCAGGACCTGACGGACATCGGGGAGCCCAGCACACACACGCCAGGAGTCAAAATTGAGGACGACGAGGCCTGCAGCTACAGAGTATGTACAAGACACAGAAACTACCTTTTCAAATTTGTCCGACAACTTTCATCAGATTGTCTCCTGCTTTGGTTGAAGTAGTCCTCACACATGGTGGTCTATTGTTTGAAAGAAATTATGAAGGTAGAATGACGTCAAAAAGATTTGCATACGCAGGGTAAGAGTTGTGGAAGT